TATTCTATCTTTTCATGTGACAACACTGAAGAAATGGCACTTTGCTACAATGTAAAGTAGTGAGTGTACAGCTTGTATAACAGTGAAAATTTGCTGTCTCCTCAAAATAACTCAACACACAGCCATTAATGTCTAAACCGCTGGCAACAAAAGTGATTACACCTTTAAGTAAAAATCTCCAAATTGGGCCCAAAGTGTCAACATTTTATTTGGCCACCATTATTTCCCAGCACTGCCTTAACCCTCTTGGGCATGGAGTTCACCAGAGCTTCACAAGTTGCCACTGGAGTCCTCTTCCACTCCTCCATGACAACATCACGGAGCTGGTGGCTGTTAGAGACCTTGCGCTCCTCCACCTTCCATTTTAGGATGCCCCACAGATGCTCAATAGGGTTTAGGTCTGGAGACATGCTTGCCCAGTCCATCACCTTTACCCTCAGATTTTTTATGTCAGGGATCAGCAACTTATAGTGGCACTGTGATGTGCAATGGCCATTATGACACTAACTTTGAGACTTTGTGGAAATTGACTAACTGCCACTGAAATCTCCCGTGGCAGTAATACAGTGATCAGTGCTAATACTATACACTGTCACTGTACAAATGACACTGGCTGGGAAGGGGTTACCATTTGGGGGCAATCAAAGGGTTACCTGTGTGCCTAACAATGTTTATTGTGTTTACTGTGTGGTTCTTTTACTAGCAATGTGCCAGTTTTTATACCTTGCTTTGCAGGGAGAAAAGAAATGGCACAACGCAGCTGTCTGTAGAGAGCTCAGTGTTATTTACCAACACAGAGCTCTCTTCTGTCATTTGTTCCACCGATCAGCAGGTCCTGGACATAAATCATTGGTCGGGACTCGCTGATCGGCTTGTGCTATAGCAAATGTGTGTGATCCAGCTCAGCTGGTCTGCATTGTCAACATTTATGTACAGTGCACGGTCCACAACTAGTTAATGCATTCTCTGCAAAAAACCTTCTGAGTGCAGCGCCACCTCTTACACTTACCTGAGCTTAACCTTGATCCAGTTCTGTGCATGAGAGCAATGGCTCTCTCTGCTATCTCCCTCCTCATAGGCTCAGAGACAGCAGCAGAAGTATAAAATATACTCCTACGCTCTATCCCTGACAGGCCCTCTGTTCTTTGCCTTGACCATTGCTCCTCTGACACACCAGGGTGTGTGTATAAAAACATACAATATCACAGGAAATCACTAGATTCAGTAATATTAAAGCAGGTAGTAAAGGCAAACTAATTAGTATATTATCACCCAGTTTGGATGGTAACTAGTTATTAATAGTAAAGACTAGGAATAAGATCACATTTTGTGTCCAGATCAGCATAAACAGTAGCGAGACCACCTCAAGTGCAACAGTGAACAGTAGTAAAATTTAATCTACTGAGTGCTGGAACTATACTGCCAGAGAGCATTTATGGCAGCAAAGCTAGTCCTAGACCAACTGGGTATGCACTGTCCAAAAGAAAAGGAGGATGGTAGTAGAGGTGGCAGGAGAACAAAGGTGGTTTGCAGAATAATTATTATGAGAGGGGCAGTCTCTTGAGATGTTCTTCTGCCGGCTATCGTTGGACCCTTTAAGCACGTTACTGCACTTAACCACAGTCTCAGTTAACCTGCATGCAGTATAGATACAGTATAGGTATGGAACAGTCTTGCCACAGATGCAAGGTAGATGTGGTTCAGATGCAGTAAAAGTTTGGTAAAATGCGGTATAAGGTTGTATATGTGCAGTCCAGGTTTGGAATAAGTGCGGTATAGAGTGCAGTATGGGGGCAGTATGAATTGGGCACACTTGGTGTTCTGCTCTGATTGGCTCAGTCCCTGCTAACAGTATCAGCAATGGGCAAATAGCCCTCTCACCAGTCCCCGGGATGCTGTGGAAGAGGGAGCCCCCTCAGTCTCTCCCCAAAAGTCTCCAGTGATCAGTGATAGGAAACAGAGTGGATGAAAGTGCAAACACTATCAGGTAAGGATGAGTATATCAGAATTCCATGCATTTTGATGGTACAGGGGAGCCTGGGTGCAAGTATCTAATGTCTCTCTGGCTTCCATCCTATTCTAATAGTCCCTTCTGTTGCAGAATCATTCTGGATCTGTAGTGGAGTACCCATTTTCTCAAACTTCGATGCAGGTGCTGGACTCTTTAACTCCTTTTTCCATACACTGTGTGTTTGCAACTCAGGTAGCATAAATACCTCAAACTTATTTCCTCAGGAACTTAGAGAGGCCACACCTGATGAGGCAGAGGTAGCTAGGCAAGTCATTTTCAGTCAGGTGAGAGGACCTCCATTGTCAGAACTGGCGTGTGGGTGCCTGGACCGGAGCCAAGCAGCACACAGCTTACTGTGGGGAGCCTCTTTCCAATTACTACTAGAGCACTCAAAGTTCCTGTGGGGTGCCATTTGTCTATGGGATACCTCCAGCTGGTCTCCTGTTTTACCAGATCAGTCCAGTTCCAGTGAGATGTCCTTGGGGCCCCTCTAGCTGTTCATCTGTGTTACCAGAGCACTCCAGTTATAGTAGGGGGCACGTTCTTCTTGGGATCCCTCTAGCTGTTCATCTGTATTACCAGAGCATTCCAGTTCCAGTGATGTGTTCTTGGGATTCTTACACCTGTTCATCTGTGTTACCAGAGCAGTCCAGTTCCCATGATGTGTCCTTGGGATTGGGATCCTTACGCATATTCATCTGTGTTACCAGAGCATTCCAGTTTCAGTGAGGTGTCCTTGGGATCCTGCTAGCTGTTCACCTGGGTTACCAGAGCACTCCAGTTCCAGTGGAGTATCCTTTTTCCTTGGGATCCCTCCAGCTGTTCACCAATGTTATCAGAGCACTCCAGTTCCAGTGGAGTATCCTTTGTCCTTGGGATCCCTCCAGCTGTTCACCAGTGTTACCAGATCACTCCAGTTCCAGTGGAGTATCCTTTGTCCTTGGGATCCCTCCAGCTGTTCACCAATGTTATCAGAGCACTCCAATTCCAGTAGCGTGTCCTTGGGATCCCTTCTCAGCTCTTCACCTGTGTTTTCAGAGCTCTCCAGTGCCATTGGGATGTTCTTGGACCCCTCCAGCTGTTCACCTGAGTTAGAGCCACCCTGAACCTCACCGTGAAGGATGCTATGTGTGAATAACTGCAAGTAGCTGTGTTCTGAACAGTTTTACTGACGTGAGTCTCAGCACGAGTCTCCTTTAATTTAGAGTCTTATGAAGACTATACTATGCAGCCATATGTTACCCTGATGGAGTCACAGAGATATTGCTGTGAAGAGTCCACATCTGCACAGATTTCATTATAGGGTACTATAGGGTTTGCATGCAGGTTGACATTCTTAAAGTGGAACTTTACCCATAACAACTTGATAAAAATTATGTTCTTTAGCAAAGGACATACATTCCCCATGAATTTTAATGCTACCAAAATTAGTGGTGTGTGCTGTAAATTGCCTCCCTTTTCTTTTTGCAGGAGGCTGCCATTTTGCTGAAGCCGTGAGTCCCTGAACAGCAGTAAATCATAAAGTGGAACTACACCCATCGATTTGAAAGTTTCAGAAAACAGTTACATTCCTGGAATGCCAGGGTTGCTAACTGTCACAGTTGCTTGTGTCCTCAACCAAACTGTCAAACCATCAAGTGCCTGGTGTCATAACTGATCACATGTGCAGCACCATGACAGTTGAAGGTCAAACATATGCAGCTTCCTTGGCTTTAAGAGATAGGAGGGTTTAGTTCTGCTTTAAGGCTGTCAGCAGATCGGCCTCTACAGACTCAGCAGTGCCTAAAAATGCCTAAAAATGGAGAGCAACTGAGCATGTGCAGGGCAGAGTGATCCAGTATATTACTGGATTTTAACAGTATAGGCACTTATTTTTAATGTTTTACATAGCTATACCTGCAAAAGGGGCCAACCTGAAGTCATCTGACAAAAGTTCCACTATAACCTGTTTCGTATAACTGATTCCAACTTTGTACCTGTTTAAATAACTGTAAGTTACAGTTACTTTCCAATCATTCAACCGATTACAAGTCTTGTTATACTTCACATACACTCACCACCAGGGGTGGACTGACAACTCACGGGGCCCCCGGGCAATAGGGGATCATGGGGCCCCTGTGTCCTTGCCCAAACTCAAAAAAGCCTATGAAATATATGGGGGAGGAATAGTGCCCAATCACTGGTGTCAGTGGGAGGAATAGTGCCCATCATCAGTGGTGTCAGTGGGAGGAATAGTGCCCATCAGTGGTGTCAGTGGGATGAACAGTGCCCATCATTGGTGTCAGTGGGAGGAACAGTGCCCGATCATTGGTGTCAGTGGGAGGAATAGTGCCCGATCACTGGTGTCAGTGGGAGGAATAGTGCTCCATCAGTGGTGTCAGTGGGAGGAATAGTGCCCATCAGTGGTGTCAGTGGGAGGAATAGTGCCCATCAGTGGTGTCAGTGGGAGGAATAATGCCCCATCAGTGGTGTCAGTGGGAGGAATAGTGCCCATCAGTGGTGTCAGTGGGAGGAATAGTGCCCGATCATTGGTGTCAGTGGGAGGAATAGTGCCCCATCAGTGGTCTCAGTGGAATTATGCCCCTTTGTTGGTGTCAGTGGATGGAAGGGCCGGATAAAAGTAAGCCTTTTTTTGGTGTCAGTGGATGGAATAGTGCTCCAATTACCGAATAAAAGAAAGCAAAGGGCTGAATTCGGCCCCAGTTTGGAGACCACTGCCCTGTATAACAGACCATAAATACTAGAACATATAACACAGCTGGTACAGGTACTTCTATGGGTTCTAGCAGCAAAACTCGTGTTAGAGCCACCACGTGTGCCCAAACAAGCACAACACAAAACACTGCCTGGTCTTCGGCAAGATGGCGCAGTAGTTCCTGACATGCTATAGTGAAGTGACGCTCTAGTGTATGAACAAGGCGGCCCGGATTGGCTGACTACCGGGCTGTGTTACCTGAGTCATAACCGGCGCAGGGGTGACAGGAGGAAGATGGCGCTATGCATGTGGCGGGCGTGCGGTCTTCAGTGCAGGCTGACCAGGTACAATATTCTCCCTCCATGAAAGAAATAATATGCAGCCTGGTGAAAACAATGCTTGCTGTTCTTCTCGCCTAGGGTTGACTGGAGGACACATCCACCATGCTATAGCTGTCCTCCTCGGTACCAGGTTATATATGTAGGATCTAACCATGTGCCTGTTATGTTTTTTTTTTCTAGGTTCTTGACACCTCATCAGCGTCGAAGCCTTCATTCCAGTGAGTGTGCTTCTTGTATTAATCATTCCTTCTACCTCACCTGTCTAGGTTTTTATTTCCTTTCCTCCCAGTCCATAGAATGGGTCTGTCACATTTCTTATAAACACAAGAAGTATCAAACCTGAAGAGGTCACACAAGTGTCAATATGGCTGTCTAGTCTGCTTAATGTGGGTTAGAGCATAGAGCAATATTCAGATTGTTGAGGATCCCTAATATCCAGTGCATGGTAGGGCAGGCATTAGGGGTTCGAATGGTGGTACCTATTGAGAAAGTCCCAAATGGTTGGACATAACGCGTATAGGTAACAGGTATGTTGATGACATCATCACGCTTGCTGTGCCAGGGCTAATACACATAGTAGTGAGAGATCTCTCTATGGGATCAGACTGTTATCAGTTTTATGATGAGCGGTGTTCATGTCTTTCCTTTGTGAGTTTTTTTTTTTTATACTGTTATTTACCTTCAGTAAAATCCATCAGTGAGCACTATCAGTTCCCTTCTTTTTCTGTGTTTCTAACTTGCTGGCATAAGTTAACAGTAACAAGTTTGCCATCACTGATATCCCTGTTGGGGGAACGCACTGTTTTGACCGTCTTTAATTATTGATGTCAGAACCTGGAGGTGAGCGATTTATTGGTCACCAGCCGGAGTGTGTTCCTTATAATACTGTTGGAATTACAGAAACCGTATCTTGGATCATTCACTTTGTTTGAGATCTGTGGACTTATTTGTACTTTGGCCTTTTTTTTTTAAATTCAGGGTTGACACTTATATCATAAATAGAGGACTATCCAGGGCCGGTGCTTCCACTAGGCAAACTAGGCAGCAGCCTAGGACGCACTGCCACCTAGGGACGCTGGCACTTTGTTTGAGACGTGCCACGTCATGAATGATCCTTCAGGTGAGGGCAGGTGTGGCAGAGGGGAGGAAGAAAGGGTGTCTGGGGCCAGTGTAGCAGCTGAGCTGCCGCTCCTTCCAGTGTTCCTCTCAGACTCGGTCCCTTACTGCAAGCCTGCTGGTGGCTGTTGATCACTGTGGAGTTCCAGCCCTTCTCTACCCATTCATCAGTGGAGGCGGAGCTGCATCTGCTGAGGAATGTAATGTCTGACTGATGTCTTGTGTCTGTGGGAGTGTGACCTGGCTGGCCATCCATCACATGGGCAATGTTTCAGTGAGTGATGACATCATCACGATCCCACAGTGTTGTGTTGTATCGGATCTGTCACTTTGTGGGATCGCTCAGTTTAGGTGTTTTCTCTGTGTACGTGGGCAGGGCTACCTGCTGCCACAGCGGTTTACCACCCCCCCCCCCATTGCCTGAGGAATTCCAGCCTGGGATCTGTCAGAGTGTGGATCCTTCATCCTCCACTCACTGCAACTGTCACCCTGCACTGATAGCCGCAAATACAGTCCATCCATAACACTGATTTTGTCTTTAATATTGGTGCTGGTGGCATTGTATGGCACTTATTTTTGCGAATTAAAAGAAATTTAGCAATTTCACGTTTTGTTGATTTAATATTGTCTACTGTTTTTAAAAATTATTTTTTTTGGGTGGGGGTGCAAGTAGCTGGTCTTGCCTAGGGCAGAAAATAGTCTAGCAACGGCCCTGGGCCTATCACATTATGTGGGTATCAGAGATTCATTGTAAACTGCATGTTGCAAATTTTATACATTCAGCACTATGAGAGTTATGTATGTTGGTGCTTTATGAGATTTATGTATATTGGTGCTTTTTAGCTATAAGATTTATTATATTTTTTTTTATATTTTTTGGGGGTGCATTACACTCTTTTGCAGTATGTATATGATTGTGTAGGTGCTGAGAAATCACTTACTGGATGTTAGATTGCAACCCAGGTTATGTAGTTTTGCTGACTGCACAGATAGCTTTTTGGTTAATTTTATGATCAATCAGGCCAGAACCGAATTGTGGGTGCCCCCGTCAACAACAGGCTCTTTGTCAAAGGAGCCTGGTGGAAAATTGTCAGGCCAAGAACTGCCTGCAGCCAGTCAGATGCAGCGACTGTTTGGGTATTCCGACAGCTGCTGGAGATGGCTGACGGGATGCAATATCTAACAGGGGAGATTCCTCCATCTATGCTGCATAGGCTGTATTCACATCTCCACGTAATATCAACTCACTTTTGTTTCACACTACACGAATATATATATATATATATATATATATTTATTTATTTTTTTCTATGGTTGAACTGGATGGACTTTTGTCTTTTTTCAGCCAGACGAACTATGTAACTATGAATAGGGCAGCCCATTCATTTGAAACTTATCGACACAAGACTGTTTCAAATTCCTTTTATCTTCGCTATACACCCCTGTGTAAAAGGCTGCAGTTTTGGACACTGGGAGCATAGTGTTTGAAGGAGCTCACAGCCTACAGCAGGGCCTCTGACCAAACAAAAGGCAGAGCCCACGGCCCCAGCCCTCAAGTAGCCATGGCTCGGCACTGGTCTGGGGTTGGGAACCTCTACTTTATAGCCAAGGAAGCTGTCATCTTGGCGTCGATTTCAGCTGCAATTGTCATGGTCCTGCATATGTGATCGGTTATGACACCAGTTATTTGATGACTTGACCGCTTGGTGGAGAGCACAAACAGATATGACCGTTAGCATTCCTGGCATGCCTTGGATGTAACGGTTCTGGGAAACCATTAAATTAATGGGTTTTGTTCCGCTTTTAGACCTGGTGCAGCACTAGAGATGAGCTTGGTTGTGTTCAGAAGCTGTCATCTGTACTAGGCAAATTTTCTATGTGCTGGGGCAATCCCTGCCCTGCAGCCATATGCTGTATGTATACAAGGGGCATGTATATGTGAAGCTGCAGGGCAGGAAATGCCTTGGCCACTTATGATTAGCCCAGTTCAGTGACAATTTCCTGGCGGACTTGATCATGTGGGTTCAGACTAGGATCCGAGCAGGCTGAAACTCCTCCATTCTCAGCACCTTATAACTATGTTTGCAGTATGCTTTTTTTTTTTTGCTAAGCCTGTAGTTGTAAAATGCTCTCTTCCCTTGTTCCTTTTTTTTTGGGTGGCTCTGTCCTTTTACAGGTCTAATGGAGCCACCTTTGAATGCATGCTCCAGGCTGGTGCAATAGAGGAAACTGCCCCAGCAGCTACACCCCACCCCTAAGCAAGTACTTGGAACAAAACTGGAGCCTGCGCTGTTCCTAGTGTATTGTACATATCAGGTACCCAGGACGTGTGTGGCAGGACCAGTTGGAAGAAGAGGTGTAAGGCAAATAATGTGTTTTGTGGCTAAATATCAAAACATTAGAAACTGTGGGATGTTTAACCAGTTGCTAAAATATTGGATCGTGTAATGCGGTATTAAACCCAAAACCAAAAATGTAACATATTGCAGCTTGCCAATCATTAGATGTGGCGGCTGCATTTTTGTTTTCTTTTTTTAGGCTTTATTTTTACCCTGTTTTTACCTGGTGGTCTAGCCAGTAACACATCCCCTGTATTAGACTGCTCACGCTCTGGGTGAATGAGCACAGGGGCACCTATGTACAGCAGCATTGTCAGTCTTAGGGGGGAGGGGAGTGTTAGATGTACTAGCAGATTTAAATAACTAGCAAATTGAAGCCAGAGTCCAGCTAATTCTTTATAAGCAGTTACAGCAAATTGCTGTTCCTATTGGGATTTACATGAATAAATAAAAGCTGATTGTTGTAAGCATCCCTGTCAGTGATAAATGGTTTGTTTCATCCCTGTAACTGGTATATCTGCAAGACAGCAAGCCTTGTTCTTTTTCAAAACAACAGAATTACTGGCTGGATCACCAGCCAGTAAGTCTGTTCATAATAGAAGAAAGTCTACAAATAAAACTAAATCCACTAGTCCTGGGTTTTTTTTCCAGCCAAAAAACATTGATTACAGTCTGTGTGCATGAACACATAGGACAACATGGTGGGGGGTTTACTAGCTGTAGAAAACAGCATCAAAAACAGCAGCTGTAAAAATGTCCAGTGTGCACGAAGACTAAATGTGAAACGTGTAAATATTAAAGGGTCAACTGTGTGCTGGGTGTGTTTTGCTATGGGGCAGTGTCTGTGTGCTTCAATGTAAGCACACTGCTTTGGATGACTGTGCTGTGCACAGCCATCCAAAGCAGTGTGCCCGAGCTGACAGGGAGGAGAACTGTTAGTAAACAAAACAGTTCTCCTCCCCTTCAGAGACCCTTGGTAATTAATGGGCACTGACGAGTAATCACTGGCTGCACCCGGTGATTGACAGCCACGGCACCCCGTACCCGGAAATGCAAAATCACGTGTATATATACGTGAATATGCTGCATTGTAGCAGAAATTTCTGATATAGGGTGGTCAGGAAGCGGTTAAAGTGACTAATTTCCCAACAAATCAAAATAATAATTAATAATAATGTGACATATTAACATTCCATCAATAAATATATAATAGTGCTCAACCCAAGTGCTTGGGTCTGCAAGTGCTTTCTTTCATTTATCCAAGGGCACCATATATCAACTCCTCCACTGGACCACTGACCTCAGAAACCAATGAACTAGGCAACAGCCATTCTTAAAACACACAGGTTAAATTCCTCCTCTCCACCAACTCTCTAGTATATAAACAGAGACAGGCAAAAACCAGAAATAGTGTATTCCCGCTTTTTGTTAAATAGGATTAAAGAAAATCCAATATGCTGTTAAATGGTACAAACATTGAATCAGCCCCGAGATCTCCTTCCTTTCTCTTCCTTTTGTGGCCCATGGAAGCAAACATTTTCCAGATGGTGGAAGTGACATAGCAGAAGTGGTGTTAGCAGGTCACAATCAACGTGTTTCTTCAGTTAGAAGAACTCCATCAGGAACAGTGAAGAAGTGTTTGTGAACTGGCTCCACAACAGAAAATGTGGACTTTTCCCGTGTGGAGGCAGTTCGCTTACACTGACCACAAGAAGCGAGTAGGTGTTTAGATGGGGTTGAACAAAAGGTAGGGTTGAAGGTTGTTATATAAGTACTGGAAAGTTTGTTTTATGTGATATATTTTTTTTAATCCCTTTTATATTTTAATAAAACTTGTGAAGTAGTGAGGGCTATATGTTCTTGTTCTTGGTTGCTGAGGTTTTGGGATTGCAGGAAGCCCCAGACATGGAGATGCTGTAAGCTTTAGGAGTCCATCCCGGGAGACATTTAAAGTGCCAGTAGAACCCCTATTGTTTAAGAGGTCCATGTTGTGGGGTGAGCATACTACATATGTGTGGGGAAGACACGCTGGTGAGACAACTTATACTGCTTTCCGTGCACAATATCATGGGTGCTTTCAGTTAGTTGTCTTCATGTGAGTAAATTTGATTTTTTTATATTTATATACTATCTTGGAAACAGTGAGCACGATGTAGTCTAGTTTGCTTGCCTGATGAAGTTGTCCTGGATCGCAGGGTACATTGGAGGCAAAAGTGCTGTGAGTGGATGGAAGATTATCATGGAGATATATACACAAGCAGAATTTGACATCCTATAACTTAGAGGTCCATACAACAGGGTGAGCATATTTTTGCAATTGTGGGTGATGGTCTTCTCGATCTGTAGGATAGCTTGAAGGACATTTTGCACGATATCCCATGTTCTGGATCTTTGTGGATGCTTGCAAATTGTTTTTGTGAAAACTTTTCTGGTACTATTAAGAATACTTTGAAGATTGTAATTATTGTTATTATTACAATTCCATTGGGACTGCATTGTGGACTTATATGCATTTTGTTTCTTTTATAGTTGTGGTTCACATTTGAATGAACAATGGGTATTTGATAGAGTGCTACACATACTACTAATTGATTTTCTAAAATAGGCCAGGGAATGATTCATCTGGCTTGTATGGGGTTGGCCTTTAACTCCTACACATTTTAATTGTTGCAAGCTATGCTGTGACTATTGCATCATTTCTTTCGCCTAGCCATTTCTCCATGAACTGCCTCTCTTTCTGCATGTAAAATGCTTGACATCATTATCTGAAATGTTGATAGTTTTAGTATAATGTTTTGTGTAAAATCCGCCATCAAATGGCCCTAAATGTCATTTTATTATATTGCCAACATTTTGCAGATTACAGTTTCTTGTTTTTATTGTACAGATGGACGGAGATTTCAAGCCGCATCTCTTGCTCTGGGTGTCAAGATCAGACCTCTGTATGTGCTTCTGGGAACAAGTGGAAGTTATGCTGGCTACAGACAGTATGAAAGTCATAAAGTTCATAGATTGGAGAAGCTTGGAATTGAGGTTCCCCACAAGTAGCTCACACCTGGGAGGTAGGGTCAATACTTTATATATTGTTTTCTTATACCTTTTTACATTGCAAGTAATGTTTTCTTTTTGTTTCTGCCTGTCAGTTTATCTTTTTTTTTTTTTCCTAAAGTATTTAGAAATGCCATATATAGGGTTTTTTTTTAACCCTTCGTGGAAAATGGATACCAGTAAATGCATAAGTGCTCAAAGAAAATTGATGGGAATAAGAATGGGAATATTTGGTGTTCTTAAAACGGAGCTCCAGTCAAAACTACAAAAACAGCCACTCTCCGATGTCTACATCTTAAGTGTGGACACCCGGCTATGACAGCTTGTGGCTTCACAGCTGGGTGGCCACTGCGCATACGCGAGTAGCACTGCACCTTGTGAATGGTTCTGTAGTCTTCTGGGACCTGTCACGTCCTAAAAGACTATGGGAGGGGGGGGGGGGGGGTGAGGGGAGGACAACTTTGGCAATTGAAGTGGAAGCAGGTACCTGTCAAAGTTGGGTACCCGCTCCCTAAAGGTGCCAATTCCTGACGGGGAGTGGGGGACCAGTATCTAAAGCGGAACTTCCCTTTTTGGGTGGAGCTCCATTTTAAGCTTTTGCCAAGTATTCAATACATTTTTTGTGGAATGATGTGTTCCAGGTACAGCTCCATAAATTCATGTCTACTTAAACTGTAATAAATAGATTAATTGATGATGCATGCACCCTGCAGGAATAACTACTACATAAACAAATCATATTTCCTTGATTTGTGAACTTCTTTCCCCCAACTCTGTTTAGGGCATGCTGCTTGGGATAATCAGGGTTGTGCAGTATGTTATATCACTATACATGGGTATGTGATACCATATGGGGACATGGCAGGGTATTATGGAAAATAAGTTTACCTTATCTTTTTGTGATCACTTGGTTGATTTATTCTTCTGAGGCTCAATGTAGCTATATTTAAAGTTTGCATTTGAGGGCTAAAATTATGCGTATGGCTGATTTCCTTTTGAAGATTTAGATGTGAAAACTTTCTTTGAATACATAAGGAATTTGGTAAATCTCCTGTGAGGGTTTTTTTTGTCATCTGTGTGACATTGGGGAGATTTCCCTCCACTTCTGTTTTGTAGACACAACAAAAAGGGAAAAAATGTCCTCTTAGACAGTTGTCACCATAAGGCCCCTTTCACACTGACTGTTCGATCAGGTCCACCTGTCAGTTTTTCAGGCAATCTGATCGGACCATCCATAGACTTCTATGGACCGGCAGGTGTCCGCTGACACCCACCAGCATCCGATCCGATCCTGTATGCCGAAATCAGACGGATGGTGATCCGTTCCCCATCCGTCTGGTGGATCGGATCAGATGGCAGTTACAGCATAGAAGACAGCGGGCAGTGCAGTGTCTGTGTCCGTTCTGCAGCAGCAGAGTGGACACGGACCTGTCATCCGCCTGCTCAGCGGGGATCAGCGTAGAGATCCTCCTTTTGAGCAGGTGGATCCACTGACTGGTCCGCTCCTTCTGAAAGGGGCCTAAAAGCTGTCCCTGTTAGAAGATTACCCCTTTATTCCTGTTTGTAACAACTTAGAATTTTAGGTTTTCCATCACTAAGTCTCAGAGGACAGTGGTCACCAGGACAGGACACAAAAAAATTGAATCTTCCTAATGGGGGCAAAGACAGCAGCAAAATCCCCATGCAGGGTATGTGTTTATGTTAAATATATGTGTATTCTTTGGGCACCTTAAAACTCTATTTTTAGGTTTTTTTTTTTTTTCTTCTATTTTTTGCAGTAACAGCCTGATAGAGATTCTAACTTCAGCCCACTCTATTCAAAGCTAAAAATACTAAAACTAAAGAAGGGCTTTAGATAAACATTGGCTACCGTTTGGTTATGTATTTCCATTTTGGGCACCAGTTCATGAAAAAAATGTCTGGCACTGGAAAGAGTGCAGGAAAGGGAAGCCAAGTTAATATTTGCCGTGTACGAGCTTGGGCACATGTGACAAGATTTTTAGTGATGCACCGATATATATCAGCCACCGAAATCTACTCGCTGAAAATAGGGTTATTGACATTTTGCAGATAGAGAAAATCTATAGTGCCAATAATGTCATTGACTTCAATGCAAAATCGCGTCCTGTTGACTTCAATGCAAAAAGCACCCCCTGTTGACTCCAATACAAAATGCGCCCCTTGTTGACTCCAATTCAAAAGCGCCTCTTGTTGATTCCAGTGCAAAAGCGCCCCCTATTGACTCTAATTTAAAATCGCACCCCATTGGCACCAATGCAAAAACGCCTCCATATAAATTTTTTGAATTTTTTATATATTTCAACTTATTTTCTGTCCAGTTTTTGCATGTTACTCTCAATAAAAGTTATTTTACGTTACTGGATTGTATTTTTAAAATTCATATTCATTTAAATTCATTATATTAATTCAAAAGTCGAATATAATACAAATATATATTAACAATATATTTTTTTTAAAAACTGTCCTTTTTCGGTTTCGGTTTTTGGCTAACTGCATCCTGAAGTTTCGGTCCAGAATTTTTATTTCCGTGCACCACCTTATATTAGTTGAACTGTTTTTTTTTTCTCAGTTGATTGGAGATGATTAAGGGGGTCTGAATGATTCATATTAAAACCCCTTCTTGAGGGCGAATATAGACATTAGGACACATCTTGTGTTGTGAGGGACGAAGGTTTAATATCTTGCTATTGTAATAGAAGCACTGGTAGGATCATTTATTGGTCCACCTTTCTCCAAGATGCTCTTTTGTGTCTGTTTGAAAGCACTGAGAAAACCAGTTGAGCTAGGAATGAGCGCTGAAGTAACCAGGGGGAATTAGGTGACTTGCGTGGTCATTTTTATAGGGGAGGCAGCTGCCTTAAATAGGGACACTGAATGTGCACTAAAACTTGTTTCCTACAAGGCTGAAGCCAGAATTCCTCTGTGGGCTGTCACTACCTGTACATAAAAAACAAACACATATTTGAGGCTGTTTTCCCAAAGAGATGGTGAAAGCTAGGCTGCTTTCCCTACACTGTGAATGGGTTTTTATTTGTGAAAGTATTGTGACTATTGCAATTTGAATTCGTCTTCCCAGAATTATGTAAATGTGGCCCTCAGGACACATAATGCAGTCTCTTGAAGATTTTTCACTCACACACTTTGGTTTTTATTGAGTTTGACATGCCTGAGCTAGGGACAAGAAGTCAGGGGAAAACTACCCAACTAGACACTGACAGTAATAAAAATCTGACAGATCTTCTAAATCTTCCTCCATTTGACCCAAAACAAAAACATTTTTGCTTGAGTTTGGCTTTAAAAAAAAGAGCGGTAAAATCAGAAAGTATGACCATGCTTTATACAGACTACAAATGGACATCACCTTCTTGGTGCCTGTCCCCATTTTGTCAGACTTAATGTTCGTTGGGGGAATTTTTCCCTACCTCTGTGCAAATTCTTCTCTAGACTTGATATATCCTGTGTATGTACATGTCAGTTGAGGCTTGTGTTATAATTCTTTTGTGACATGGTCAAACACACATGCACCATCCTTAGTACTGTCCATACTGTATGGACAGATTTAGTTGAGGGGAAGTTTCACAAAATATATTTTCTTTAAAAGAAATGTAAACTTTCCTACCTGCTCTGTTTGTTTTTTAGCTGTTTGAGATGTGCATTGATCTTGTGTCATTTGCTACCCGGATTAGCAGGTAGGCATGGCACTGCAGTGTGAGAACTGAAACTTCCTGTGAAGAAACTTCATATCCCACAATCCTTGGGTCACTCAGTCTAGTGCACTTCAGGTGAAAGCTAGTGACAGAGCTTACCATGCTGGAATATATGCGTTTTGTTTCATCACATTAGCCATCATACATTTGTGATGCACCACAGAGAATTGACTAGGCATGCACTGGATGCTACGTGACCCAGAACAAGAAGTTGTTTGTCCTTCTGGTGAATAGGGACAAGTTAGATTGAGTAATACATGAACTGCCATGACACTACAAACTGCAGCCATAACACGGGAGCCCATCATTATAAGGTAAGGCAAACAAAGGACACAGGGAGTATAACTACAACTAACACCTAGTTAAAACATTTGACCGTATACAGTTTTTTAAAGTTGTTTTACTGTTTCCCAATGACCGTTCTTGTTTCTAACCAGATGTGAAAGCTGCTTTAAAATATATTGTGTCAATGTGTAAGTAGATTGTTGGATTCCAACTAACGGACATCTTTGTTGCTGTCATCATTTTCAGGCTGCAAGTTTTGTAGGTGTCTAAGAGGGAGTACCATAAGCATGTGAGACCAAACTTCCCTCGGATTGGCTCTCCTTGGTGAATTCAATGCTGTTCTAAGGATAAAGCTGAGAATATATGTACCAAAATTTGGCCAGTTCAGCAGGAATCGGCTGAATTTTGGTACATGTGTACTACTGTCTGTCCAACAGAAGCCGCTCTAACTACTGGCTTCTGCTGAACGGTCCTGCTGGAAAATCTGCATTCAAGCAGTGCTTGCAGCCAGTGGCTGCAGCGCTAATCTGTGTTCTCTGGTGGGGTGGGAGGTCCTCACTGTCCGAATACAGTAGCGCAGTGGGAGAGATCCCTGCATCCACATCAGTTTGTGCTGATGTAGGGATCTGTGGATATGCGTGTTTACTATTCTTTACTGAGACTTGTATTCAACCCAGCGTCTTTTATGCCTTTGGGGACTCCTCTTATTTGGATGTGTCTGGTACAGCTTCTGAAGTGTCTTCCATGGTGGCCCACATCAAGTGGCACATCGTAAATTAAAATAACAATAGCAATGCACCGATATATCGGCAGCCAAATGTATTGGCCGGAAATAATGTAATCAGCTATTTTCTTATAGGAAAAAAGGTGCCGATAATGGGTGCCGAAAACATGCGATTTTGGTACGATTTTTACCACGTTTAGGGTGCGTTTTTCATAGGTCATGTGACAAAAAAAAACACATCAAAACGCAACACATGGGTTTTCAATACTTTTTAGGCCTGA